ACGCTTCTGTATTTAGCAAAAAATCAAACTAGAATGAAAATTCAGCATTAATTGTACTTCTGCTAATACACAATTAATAGGAATTTAGTGTTAACTGATTAATTAGACGAATAACTTCATAATCAGCCAAACTTCATCTGCATTTTAACTTTAAAGTTAGCTTTACTTGTACTTCTACTAATTCCTAAGAAGCAGGAAAATGAGTTTTAAACGCTTAACCAAGCTAGAATTAACCAAACTACAAATTCATAATGTAAAATCTTCTTAAAATTCAGATTTTTACTTATGTTTTTCTTCTTTTATGTGCCGTGTCCCTTCGGGACGTAGGCGATCATGGCTCTCCACTTCCTCCACCCCTTGTAGATCTCAATAAGTTTTGTCGCTTTGGTACTTCCCCCAGACCCTGTTCTGTCATCCACTTACTAGTTCACTTTTCAGTCTCGATAAAGTTTAAAAGCTATTCCGCGTCCTTGTTGGTGATGGATTATTTTCTACACTACAATTCCTTTCCCACAGACGAAACGCTTCTAACTGCTCTATCGCTATTTCCAGGAATAATATCAAATAAAAAAAAGGCAAATTTATTGTCTCCTCCTCAATTCCCCTTATCGCCACACCTGCCAGAAAATAGTTGTTTTGTTACAGCATAAAATAAAAAGAAATAAGCGGGGATATATCGCGATAAAGTGCGTGGGCAGTGGTAAGAATAGACGAAATCTTGCTGACGTGATCCCAGTTCCAGGTATAAGTAAAGTGGGGTCTGCATCTTACGCGGTCAATTGGTTCCCTAAGCTTATGCGTCATTTAAAAAGCCACGTAGGGCCTTTTATAAAAGTACCTCTGTACACCTATGTTTGGTGAGAGGTATAACGTCAGGTTTACTGGCGATTGAATGCTAAGGGTTTTCGAGAGGGGAGTGAAGTTTCGCAATTGCAAATTCCTTCTTTCAGCTTCGACAGAAAAAGAAAACAGGATCGGTTGCAATGGCTGAAGTGATTACATATGCTAAAGTTCATTCAGTTTAGAAAAGGATTGATTGATTTGTTTTCTACGGCTTATCAAACCCTTGTAGGTTAAGTGGATATAAAGTGGGGGATCAATTCTATATTACAATCAATATGTAAATTTATACCTCACTTTGTGAACAAGGTAGGTACTATACATTTACATTCCAGAGAATGTAAATAAATAAATCTAAAGGAAATGCCTGTGTAGCTAATCAGTATTTCATTGATTGTTTGATTTTCTAAAGTTTATCAAGCTTTTGCAGGTTAGCCAATGTCAGAAAATTTTTAGATTATAAGGATTATTTTTGGAGTTATAAATAATGATACACGTCTTCCAAATTAGCACGTATCTGGAGAGAGAAGAGATCGATTTTTATGTTGCCAAGGGTATTTGCGCGTAAATAAATATAACGAACTCTACAAGAATTGGAAATCGGTTCTCTGATTCAAAATTCTGAGCCATTATCTATTACATCACCCGTACAGTCAAGCTTACGGCAACTGGTATTCCACTTATCCACTCAGCTAGCTCGACATTTCTTAACTTCGGTAGTCAACAATAGACCATAATTCATCATATATATATATATATATATATATATATATATATATATATATATATATATATATATATATATATATATATTTATATCTGATGAATTATGTTTTATATATATATATATATATATATATATATATATATATATATATATATATATATATATATATATATGCAAATATATGGATATAGATCCGACAGTATGAAGAAAAATATACGGAAAAACAACCAAAAATTCCAATATGCAATTATACTGTTTTAATGTTAATATAATGTCAACGTTGGACGTTTCGGTCTAATAAACCATCTTCAGGACATATTCATAAAACATAATTAACATTAGATTATATTCAATTCAACATGAAAAAGTCGATGGACATAAGAGTAAGACTAATCCACACAGATAACTGAAATTTTTTATAAGATCAGCGTTCCGTTTTAATATGATCACGTCGTCGTCACGTGGGCGATGTTGTGAAAACGTATTCGAAGATGATTTCAAAATATTAGATAAGCTCGATTGAACGATTTTCTCATATAAACAGTTCCTTTCTGTTCTTATAGGAATACGCGGAGATCAATAGATTCTTATATTTTTCTATAAGCTTGAAGTCTTCCATGTTATAAAATAAATCATGTTGAATTGAATATAATCTAATGTTAATTATGTTTTATGAATATGTCCTGAAGATGGTCTATTAGACCGAAACGTCCGACGTTGACATTATATTAACATTAAAACAGTATAATTGCATATTGGGATTTTTGTTGTTTTTCCGTATATTTTCTTCATATATATATATATATATATATATATATATATATATATATATATATATATATATATGTGTGTGTGTGTGTGTGTGTGTGTGTGTGTATAAATAAAAGAAAGAACAGTAAGATATATAATCCGGTGTTCTTATTGATATTTTTTATTTTATTTTTACAAAATAGTGCTCAATGTAAACTTACAGAGCATAAATATTATAAATTAACTGATTTAAAATATGGGTTTTTCGCTACACAGTAATAACCATGTTTCAAAAATGGAAGCTTAAACTTTTAAGTTACTTATATAATTAAATTAAAAGCATTACTTCCGTTTCATCGTCAAGCAAATATTGGAATAACTTATTTTTTAAATTTACTGAGTTTTAAACGCACATATAAATTCATAATTTCCTGTTTCCAAGGATACAGAGAAATCCAATCATTTAGACAGGGGCGGTACCGTGTTCATTTTTATTAACTATTGTTGTATCAATTATGAGTTACGTTCGAAAAGGCGGTTAAGTTTAGGGAGGGGAGGGGTGTATTTTTCAACGAATTCTGACATCCGTTAAATACATGTCGTCTGGGTTTTTTTATTATTATTAACGGCAAAAAGTTTACCGGCATTTTTTTTATTGTATATACTTAAAGATTCTTTCTATGTGTGTTTAAAGGGTTAGAATACGTTTTATTTAACTACAATTTTAAAATATCTTTACTCTTAATTATTAATAGACTATATTTCTTTTTAAAAACAAGTAAATGTAATAAAATTACTTAAATTATTTAAATTTATTTTTTCATATCAAATATAAGTATGTATATTACCAGCTCACATTTTTTAAAATTTTATTTTTAAATATTATTTAAGGAAAATTTTTGACAATGACGGCAAAAAATAGCTTTCATTTCTCTGATTCAGTAAATTTTTATTTTTTGTAAACCTAGTAATAGAGAGTTTCTCATGTATGGACGAAGGACATGGGTCATTTAATGACCTACATATTCTAGCTTTTCTTATTAATTTCCATTTTACTGTAAGTGTTTTATTGGATTCTTTTAAGTGGCAGAAATACTTTGAAAGCAATGTCTGATTTCTGTACTTATTTTTCCTAAATGAAGTTTGATATTGATTGAACCGCTTTTTGAACTCATGGCTTGTGCAACCTATATAGATTTTTGTGTTTTCAGGATCCTCAAAAGATGAGATATTGTATTGGTATATATATATATATATATATATATATATATATATATATATATATATATATATATATATATATATATATATATATATATATATGATTGTGTGTCTGATTAAACAATTTAGACATGACGTTTTTACTTATGTTCAATAAAATTTCGACCAATCATAATTTTTGTCTTAGCCATTAAAACCCTGATGATGATATTGGAAAATATCGAAAATACCTGGAAAAATTAAAAATGAATAAATATACCCACAGTACCTTTCTTGCTGTCTTGAAACAAGAAAACATATACATGATTACAAAAGGATTTTATTGAAAATAAACACAATATGTCTAAATTGTTTCATTAGATATATTCAAATGAATATATATATATATATATATATGTGTATGTGTGTGTGTGTGTGTGTGTCTGTGTGTGTGTTTGTTTGTGTATATTACTACTCATAATATAATATTGATCAACACGTATAAATAGTCGAGCGAAACTCAAGAAACATGACTTGAAGATTGCATTCAAGTATGAAACAAACATTTGCCGCACGTTGTTGAACTCAGTATCCACTGATATACATACACACACAGGGTCATCATATATATATATATATATATATATATATATATATATATATATATATATATATATATATATAATGTGGAATGAAAGAGTTCAAATTGCAGTCGAATATCATTGCTATCATTTTCTGGCAAAACCATATGGTAATGTATGAATCCATTTCTTCTCCGCTCTCTACCCGCAACTAGGGGGTTGATAGTAGGGTAGACTGGTCTCTCTAGCCTTGATTGTCAACCAGTACAGGAAACTGCTAAATCTGCATTCCAAAACCTGTTGAGTGTGGGAGCATCTTAAACCCGTAAAACCGCCTTGCAACAGAAGCCACAGTGTAGTAAAGCAATGTTCCTCACTTAATCGGGGAACACTCGAGGTCTTCGCATAGCATACCTGCATTTAGTTTCTGGTTGCATTATTAACAAAAAATTAAATGATTTCTAATGCTTATTCCTTTTCTTGTCTCTCAGAAATGCCTATTCTCGCTAGTAGACTTTTAGTTTAGTTAGATCCGAAAAAACACATTGAAAATTCGACAAGAAAAATGTGAGTAATTATGATTAAATTACATTGTTTTAAGCGTTCTAAATATGCAGAATATTGAAATATAAGTAATTAAAAGCAGAATATTGAAATATAAGTAATTAATAATATAAGTTGTTAAAAACATACCATTTAGTGCATACTTTATATTTCTGTTTGGGCACTTCGACGTAGTGTAATGGTTAGAAAGATTTACTTTCTAGATCAGATACGACTGAGTAGTGAGTTCGATCCTCACTGGGTGCGCCATACTTTCGGCCTTGTGCCACATCTAAGCTGCGCTTAGAAAATCACTACTTTATATTTCTGTTAAATAGGTTTATCACAGTTACAGGTCTTATGGCCATATCACATTGAAACATCAATTCCCATACGATCACCGAAGTTAAGCAACGTCGTGTTTGATCGGTACTTAGATTGGAGACCGATTTGGATGTGCCGATGGTTTAATGGGTAATGACTCGGAATTATTAATTGGATAGCCGAGTTCCAATTCCAGTTGGGTTCTTTTTATTCATTTACGTACAAATACTTTAGGAAAGATATGAATCTTACATGACATTGTATAGCAATTCTGTTTTGTCTATGTGGGATTCAGATAATAATATACATTATTATTATATACTATATATTATTATAATAATATATATTATATAATATTTTCACACTTATATAATAATATAATAATATATTATTATATAGTGATTTTCCAAGCGTAGCTCAGATGTGGCACAAGGCCGAAATTAGTGGGTACCCAGTGAAGATCAAACTCACTACTCAGTCGTAATTGTTCTAGCGAGCCAAGCTTGCTAACCATTACACCGCCTCGAGATGCCCAAAGTAGTGATTTTCTAAGCCCGGCTTAGATGTGGCACAAGGCCGAAAGTATGGGGTACCCAGTGAGGATCGAACTCACTACTCAATATATTATTATATATGTGTGAAAAATTTCATGCGATAAATTTTTATTGAATTTTTCTAGTATTCTTAAATTTTTCCGTTTGGTGAGGGTAAGTGAATGTAAAAATTATCCGTAGTGTCTTTTGTTCCAAGCGCTTTCGGACATTTCTTTAGACATTTTCAAGGTGTTTTTTTTAATTTTTTCTTTGTTAATTTCTTTTCACAGTTGTCTTCGGTCTCATAATATTCTTCTTGACATTTGAAATGAATCTTTGGCCATCCCGATGCGTCTTCAGATCTCAAAGTCGCAATTTCCGTCACGTGTTAGAATATTTCGCAGGTATTTACACTATTTACATCATTTCGACTGTTGTCCTCATTTTAAGAAGGTCGGAACTTTCAACGGACGAAACGTCGTGAACATGGCAATAAAGATGAGGAAAACAGTCCGAATGATGTAAATAGTATAAATAGTTAAAACAGCTCATGCCAAATATAAGCAAATACTTCCGGGATATCTAAATAAATTCCTTTTCCAAAACAGAAAGATTTCTAATCTGATTCTTCAAGCTTGATTCTCAAACGTCAAAACCTACGAGAATAGACCCCCAACTCCATCCTCCGTGCTTTGTCTGCAAGTGCCTATCACGCGCATCTATTATTAATGTTGTTTAGATGACGTTGCTGGTAGTGATAGCTGTAGGGTGTGGCGTTGATGGTAGATGTATTGAGTTTCCTTTCATGTGAAACCACTTGCCTTTCTGATGGGTCAATTGGAAGCACCGACATGGTCTTTGATAAAGGACCGTGTCAGAAGCCTCTCTTTTCTTGCAAATGTTACATCAGCATTTACAGGACAACTAATAACATCCAGGTCTCTTTAGCGAGCTGTGAGCACACGATTTGCTCTCAAGTTACTTTTACGCGTGCGCAAACACAAACGTGTCTCCGCATTAGGCCTGGTGAAATGTTCTCGGCCTGACCAAGAACAGATTGAGAAAAAAAAAAAAAAGCAATTCTGATCATTTGGTCAGATTTTCAGATGTAGTTCTACCCGACAAAAATCACGGAGTCTATCTCCCTCATATAGTCGAGAATTTTCTCGTCATACACTTCAAGATTATTAATTGATCTATTTTTTACGGTTTATCAACCCATTACAACATATTTAAAATCAGAAAATATTTTTAGATTGCATCATTTTTTTTCTTTAAGAGAAGATAATAATAATGGATTAGTAATACACGTCTTACTAATTAACCCATAGTTTGTGGAGATGAGGTAGATTCGTATCTTTTCCAAGGCTTAAATGAATATATCGAAGCCAACGGGGATAGAAACTCTGCTCTCCGAATAACAATTCCGAGACATTATCTATTACACCACCCGCACATCCAAGCTTACAGCACCTGATATTCCCAAAAGATTACCCACCTAAGCATCGACCAAACTCGACGTTGCTTATCTCCTGTGATCATACAGGAATCGGTGTTTTAACGTGATATGGCTTTAAGCTCAGAACACAAGTTAGTGGCGTTTTTAAGTGAATTTCAAAGATATTATTTAGATATTTCTACATAGATTTTTCCAACCAGATCTATCTATTCACCATCTTTGACACAATTTCATGATCCCATCTTCCTAGTCTCTCCGTCTCAATAACTGATCTATTTGATTCTCAATATCTTTCAGAGGATTGAGGTTCTTCCCATTAAGAGAATTTTGTATGGATCGGAATAAGTGTTAATCCGAAAGTGCAAGGCCACGAGGAGTGTTAGGAGCGTAGTAGAGCACCTGCATCATTTTCTACTGAGTCAGCAAAGATACGTGAGATTGGCGTTATACTGATTCCGCTTGTCCAATTCCGAACGCTTTGCATCGACCGCTGCTTTAATCTTTCCACTTTGGAAAAGTAATTATCTGAATTCATCATCTGATATTGTGTACAGACCTCGTCATGCGCAATCCTCTATCTGTCCCACCAGATACACATCAATTATTCTTCAGGTGCATTTCGTTCCACATTGTTGTAGACAATACATTTTTCATCGCCTGTGGTCTTTCTTTTAGAAAATGGGTGTTTTTTGTTTGTTTTTATTTGGGCGGATTTCTTTTTACATATTTTACTCCGTTTTTTTTTTTTTTTTTTTTTTTTTTCTGATCTGACACTTGTAACGAGAAACCATTACAAAATATATCAGGTACTTCCGCAGTGTTAAAATGTGCTGACCCTTTCTCGAGTATTATAAAGTATATATAAAATAAAGCTTATATTAAAAGCTTATATTATTTCATTTGCAATGTTAGAATCATTAAACCAAAATACCCAAATTTTGGAATGTGTTTCAGACGATGCGTTCCAAAGGCCAGGACAATCGGAGGCTTGCAGCCAATCTCTCTACACACCTAGTTATAACAGCTCAACAGTCAATTGGCTTTTTACCTTCAATGGCAAAAATAAAAAAAAATCTAGCATTCTTTCATCATCACCGATCTTAGTAAGTCCTCATGCTTTGGATGTCTCTTAAATTTTGAGTTCGCACCAGGCATTTTAAAATCATTTCACCCAAGCAAGGCAATAAAGCCACTAAGACGCAAGTGGTTACCGAGTGCAAAAGAATATAAGAAAAAAAATTATTAAGCAGCGAGAACAATAAAACAAGAAATAAAGGACAAAAAATAACGATTGACATTGCATTTAAATCTTTGAAGATTAATGTTGATTGTGAAGCAAGAAGCCGGAAAAGATTTCCACAAGCGAGAAATTCAAATAAAGAAACTGTAAGTTACGGTAACATCTAGCCATTTTAGCTGAGACCTAACCGCCAATATTGCGCTTCCGTTCATAAAGTCTAGGTACCATAGGGGAAAGTTCATCAGAATAATTACCAGGAAAGTATTTATAGAAAAGGCACAGGAAGCTACATTACGACGGTGGAAAAGTGAGTGAAGCCGATATTCCAACTCAGGACCAATAATATTGCAGATTCTTTTTTTGGATTTCATCAAAAATCTTTAAATATATATCAGGAGCATCAGACCATATATGACAGCAATATTCAAAGCAAGGAAGAATGGTAGAATATATAAGATAGATTGAGAAATATTGTCTAGCCCGACACAGTGAAACAACTTTCCTAGCTGCAGCAATAGCAATTTATTTAATTTAATCTTTCCACTTCATGGCCCCAGAGCAGGATTGCCAGAGAAGGCGCAACGCGTCACTCTCGAGGGGGTTAGCATCAGCCATACAGATGAAAGTCAGAAAGGTATCTCCTAAATGATAGATAAGATAGAGAGTAGTTTTGTTTTGGAAACGTTAAAATGAACAAGCCATTTCTTGCCCCATTTAACAACTGAAGTCGAAGTGATCATACTTACTACTAAGACGGGAGTAAATAGATGTGTCATCAGCATTGATGCCGAATAATTTGGGGGAATCAGTCGGTGTGATTCAACATTCGGTTATCGGGAATTCGATAGTCAGCCAGAGCGGTAGATGAAGGCAAAAGCACGCTGGCGTCAACATCGCCAAAAGTCTGAGAGTCAGTTTTCACTTTCGGGTCCTGGGGGACAGTAATAAGAAACCTCATCATACGTTCAGCTTCTCATTTTTTTTCTTTACGCGAACCAAAAATTTAAATAGATCGAGAAATCAACCAATAAAATATAGAAAACAAAGAGGCGAAAGTTGTGTGTCAGCGATCTCGCCAGGAAAACGACAAACAGCAGCCTCATAACTAAGGAAACACAGCTGTTAATTACATTAGGTTCCAATTAGAAAACTGAATAAGTTTTTGATGATGATGATGATGATGATGATGATGATGATGATGGTGATGATGATGACATTTAGGATGACGATGATGATGATGATGTTTATATGCTTATAATGAATAGGAATAATGATGGTAATGATCTTCTTGAATATTAGTGTTTTGAAAACAGCATTACATATCTATCTATGTATCCCCGCTTCTTCATTATCTATCTATCTATCTATCTATCTATCTATCTATCTATCTATCTATCTATCTATCTCCGCTTCTTCATTATCTATCTATCTATCTATCTATCTATCTATCTATCTATCTATCTATCTCCGCGTCTGCATTATCTATCTATCTATCTATCTATCTATCTATCTATCTATCTATCTCCGCTTCTTCATTATCTATCTATCTATCTATCTATCTATCTATCTATCTATGTTTATATCCGTTTACCTATCTAGTCCAGTTTGTTCATCAGTCACTTATGTGCCATGCGTGGTACACACTTAGGCGATCATGTATCTTTCGATACATGACTGACGAAACAAATTAGTAGTAGGTTGCCATTTCTTTCTGGGGCAGACCAGTTACCATCCAAGGCTATAGAACCTGGTCTGTCCTGGTATTTACCCATAGCTGGGGGAAGAAGAGAAAGATTCATACCTTTTCCAAGCATATTAGCCCGTAAGTGAAGTTAATGGATTCAATTGGAATTCGAACTCGGCTCAGCGATTCCTCAATCCGAGATTTCAAACTATTTTATCTATCTA